TATATCACAATCTTACTTGTTAGTCAAAGTATTAAAAATAGAGAATACAAGAATTATAGTAAATATGTTATCATATTTCAAAAGATATTGAATTTGATATTGCAAAGATGGTGACATATTTTTCATTAAACTCGATTCATAAACAAAATTGGAAGACTTCGATATAAAAATGAAATGTAATTATACAATAAACAAATTCAAGATAGAGTATAATATAGGAAAAAAATTATATCTAATATTAGATTAACATAGGCATCATTTTTTCTATTTATATTGTCAACAGATTTATTGTAAATCATAATACGAATATATTAAAAGTTTCAAAAGAAAAATTAAAAAATAACAGAATAATTTTGTAATTCCATAATTACAATCTTCGAATATTCAAAATTTAATCAGAGTAAATAAATATTTGAATGCAGAATGTCAGAATTTAATCGTAAATCTGATAAACCTGATATAGTATCAATTTGTAACTTATTTTCAAGTAAATTTATCAACAAATTTAAATGCAAAGTCAACATACCAGTATAGCAGCATGTACTATCAAGAAAAGGATCCTCCAATTTTAAAATTTACATGTCACAAGATAATAATATATCGCCTTTGATGTAGACGAGATTGTCCAAACTGCGTTACATTATAAACGTATCGTCATTGACATAATATTAAAAAATCATCTGTTTGCACATCACGCGCTTTTAGAGATTATATATGTATATTAGAGAACCATAAGGTCACTCTCTTTATATCACATATTCATCTGTTGTTTATACACACGAATCACTTGGCACTTTTATTTACAACAATTTTGTCTTGCACGCCGTGCAGGAGATTCGTAATTTTAATAGGTGGAGGCGGTGGATGTACACCAGGATGCTTTTTACGGTGCAACATCATTGGCGATCGTTGAGTAAAGCTCTGACCGCAAATATCGCAAACGTAAGGTCGCTCGCCAACGTGAGTCAACAGATGAATCTTTTGTGAACTGAGGCAGCCGAAGGTTTTGCCGCATATTGCGCAGAGATACGACTTTTCTCCCGAATGTGTCCTGAGGTGCTTCGTGAGACCGTATTTGAACTTGAATTCCATACCACACTGCTCGCAAACGTACTTCATCTTATGCAGCTCAGCGTGACTGTCAAGATTTTTCTGGGTCTTAAAGCGCTTTCTGCAAACTTGGCACTCAAACTCCTTAACCTTCGTCTTGTGCTTGTAATGCTTGTGGAAATACAAGGAACTTTTGCTGGGATAAGATGTGCCGCATATGTCGCAAACACAGGATTCTGTATCGTGATCCTTCATATGCGTTGTATAGTCGGATTGTACCTTGAACATCTTGCCGCATTGTTCGCAGCTGTAGTTGTAGTCCTCGGTATGCTTGCGAATATAATGTATCTTCAAATACGGTTTCGTGCGCGCTTTAAATTCGCACAGGGTGCACGCATGAAGCTGCGCGGGCTCGTCGTGAATTTCCATATGCCTAGAAAGATACGCACTAGTCTTGAAGCCCTTGGAGCAGATTGTGCATTTGTGCGGACGGGAATTGCTATGCTTGAACATATGACTGGTGAGTTTGCTCTTGCGATCAAACGTAATATAACAAATCTGGCAGATATGCGACTTTTTTTTTGGACTAGTCGTGTGTTTACCGGATCGCGTTTTCGAGAGTTCATCTTTGCGCCGTTTCCTAAAGTCCAAAGGAGCATCATCCAAATCGTCCAAATCATCCAAATCATCGACGGCTACCTTATTTTTCTTTCTAGTCTCAACGCGTTCTTGATCTTTCTCTTCAGGATTATCTTTTTCCGTTTTTACTTCATTTTCTTTCGACTCAGCTTTGGAACTATTTTCTTCGATAGGCGGAGGTTCTTTCATCATAAACACGCTCAATGACTTTGGGATGCGAAAATAATCGTCTTCCAGTTTTACTATCAGAAAAGTTGACGAGAGTGGATCTAGCTGATCGGACCTAAAAAAATTATAAAAATCAGTCAGTCGATTTTTATTCGTTAGTATAATGAGGATATGGACGTGCTGGTTGCACGCGAGCATGCATGGTGCAACTTCAGTTAAAAGTTTCAATAAAGAAGCAAAGCTGAATTCTATAAAAATAACTTTTTTCTACTGCTTTTACAGAGATACTTTCTTAGATATAAATATTCGTTATTATTCTAATACTTGTTTTAACATCTATTTATAACAATAAATAGTAACTGACAAATTAACTTACATTTTAAAAAACGCAAAACGTTGAACTATACTACCTTAATATATAAATAAGCTTTATAATAAGATGTATAATGTATAATATTTATTTAGATTATATATATATATATTTATTTCATTTAATTTATATTAAAAAGTTAAATTTTTCTTCTGTACAATTAAAACTGTATTGTTAATTTTATCATGCATTGCATTATAAAAATATATGCACAATAATCTTGATATTAAATAAACAAAAATCATTGTTAAAACATTTTCAAAATAATCACAATATGTAACACATTATTTAATTAGCTTTCCTTTTGAATAATGCCTTTAAAGTCCAGATATTGTAATTAAATAATCAATATATACCAAAAGTGCAACATCTGCATTCTTGTGTATTTACTTCTGTATTAACAATTTAAAAAAACAAAATTAAATTAAAGAATCGTAAATCATTCTAAATAAAATACACTTTCAAAACAGATGGCAATCAGAATCTGTGAAGATTCTTTCCACGCCTCGTGAAATATAGATCGCTGCATAAAATTCACATCGCAAATGTCACAACGTGAGTCGATTTGCAAGAGTAGATAAAGTCGTCTTGCTTTATATCCTGCATTCCATGTCATGACGTTTGTGACGCTTCATCAGATGTTTACATTTCTGAACACAATTCTAACGATGGAAGATCAGCAAATGATTATCCATCAACTTACAAGTTTTCTTCAACAAAATAAATTTTGCACTTTTGACAGTTCATCTTCTTGAGAAATTTCAATCTTATGAATTGATCACATAGAAACAATAAATGCTAATCAATCGATTGCACGCATAAGGATATCATATCTTAGATTTACAATCCTTTACTACAATCGTAGCTAAAACTTTGTTAAACTGCTCGAGCAAATTTTATTCGTCATGATAAGCTTAATGACTTTTAAAATCTTAATCTGCAAAATATATATTGGTAAAATGTTTAATATTCGATGAATTCGGTCCACTCTCATTACAGTTTAATCCTTGTTCTTCAAATATTCTCCAAGAAAATTACTTAATATTATATAGCATATATTATATATTTATATACATATATATTATAGGTTTAATACAGTTATATATATATAAAGTATAATATATATAAAGTTTTAACATACGATTAAATAAAAAAATAGTTTTCTTTTATTTAATCGTCCTTTGAAACTTTAGTCTTCCTAATTTTGGAAGATTCTTGGACTCTTTTTGTAACATGTTTTATCTTTGATATACATATACAATCGTTTAACACAATAATTCGTCGACTCTTGAAACATTAATAAATTTAATAAATAAAAGAAAATATAATTTAATGTATCGCTATTTAACAAATCACGATTGCTATAAAATTACTTAAATGTAAATTTGTACATATAAAATAAAAAAAAAATTCTTTCCTGTACAAAATATTTCCGTATTCGAAATCATTCTTAAAAAATGTATTCTTCGAAATTAATTCAAAACTACAATACTATTAGTAGAAAATACTAAATATTTATAAAAGTAAAGCTTACCTATATATAGCAAAAATAAAAATCTAAGGAAATTTCATCAGAAAATATAAATTATTCGCAAATCACAAATTTTTTCTATAATCAAAATAACTATGTTAAACATAAAAATTCAAATTGTAAATATTTATTAAACAGATTCAATTATTATATAGTTTGTATGTATTTCTTTATACAAAGTAATGCTTGCAGTATTTTCATACGTGTAATTAATAATTAATTCTATGATTTATTATTTTACGGCAATAATACGTATTTAAATAAAAATTATAATTTAAGTCAAAAAATAAAAATACTCCGTGTTCTGAAATTTCAAATAATATAATTAAGTAAAAAACATTTTTAAATATAATTTTATTTGTATATTAAATCGTTGTGTTTATTGTATAGTTTATATTAAATCTTATAGTTTGACAATATTCACATAAAATAGAAATTCTTGTTGAATATTTTTGATGTTGATTATTTTGCAAAATTTTTATTTTGCATAATACATAAATATTAATGTAGAGATTTCTTTCTGATGTAATAACATTTCAATTAGTGTATACGAAAACATATAGGGTCCGATGGAATAACATGTAAAAGCGAGCACGACGTGATTCCTTATAAAAAAAATTAAAAAAATATATAGAATAAAATTTTTCGATTTTCTGTTTAGTTTTCAAGAAAATCAAGTTTGAAAATTCGCTGCGTACATATGCTGTTACGGCTAAGCTATGGTTTGTCGAGTGACGTATAACTCATCGTCATGATATTTGAATGAAAATTGACACGAGTGTTTGACATCGTAGCTTGTAAAGTGTTGTTTATAAATACTATACGCGATATATATTGCTCGATAAACTATAGTTTAGCCGTAACAGCATATGTACGCAGCGGATTTTCAAATTCGATTTTCTTGAAAACTAAACAGAATTAATCGAAAAATTTTATTGTATATTTTTTAATATATTTTAAGGAATCACGTCGTGCCTGCTTTCACATGTTATTCGACCGGACACTGTACATCAAACATATATCCAATACTATTTTCTAAAAGAAAACAATAATATTAAGAATATATATATTTCTATAAATGTGCATAAATGTATCAGTCTTTTTCTTTAGAAAAGGCAAAAGTAACATCATGTAAATATGCATTGTTCGTACAGAAGATACAATCGAAAAAACTTATTTGTATGAATCGTATATTCTAATATATAGTTCATATGTCATATGTTTTATACATTCCTTTTAATAACTTCAAGATATCACTTTATAATCCTTTGTTAACATCAATCGTCAATCGATTGTGAATCCAATACGAAACTCTTATTGATATGGTCATTTTTAATCTTTTCAAGGTAATTCCTGGCGAGCTCGGCTATTTGCGGATGGGACGATGATAACGGCGGTAATGGTCCAGGATGATGCTTTCTATGTCTCAGTAGACTGGAGCGTTGCGTAAAGTCCTTTTCGCAGACATCGCATTTATATGGCCGTATGCTGGCATGGGTGAGCACATGCTGATAAAAATTGCTAATGGACAAGAACGTTTTTTGGCACAGAATACAAGTGGAGATGTTTATCTGGCCGTGTTTGAAACGTTTATGACTCGTGAGTTCGCGAGTACCACTGTACTCTTTGCCACAAATCTCACATTTAAAACCTTTTTTATGCAACATCAGATGGTTGTCCAGTCTACTTCTATGATGGAACTTTTTACGGCACAAGTGACATGGATATTCATACTTGATCTCACGATTTCGTTTCTGATGCCGCCACTCGTGGCCTTTGACGTCCTTGACCTTTTTGCCGCAAAAGCGGCAGATTTGTAGATCCGATACGTGGGTTCTTTTCATATGATGCGTTAGATCGATCTTCAGCTTATAACTACGACCACAATGTTCACAAACGTACCTCGATTCATAATCGCTATGAGCGCGAATGTAATGTCTTTTTAGTCCATCTTCACTTTTGTACTTCACATTACAGATTTCGCACTCAAAGAAATAGTCCGGCCGGTGTATTCTTTTGTGCGCCTCCAGTGCCCTTGGCGTATAACAAGTTCTTTTGCACCTGTCGCATTGATGTGGTTTACGATGTGCATATTTGACATGTTGCTCAACTTGTTTTGCATTGTTAAAATGCTTCTCGCAAAATGGACACGTGTTTTTTATCTCTTCCATGACTTCATCTACTCCGGTGATTTCTTTGTGTGAATTCGGAGAACCGGAGGTTTGTGATGATTTCGCATTCAACAAAGATCGAACATTGTGAATTGAAATATTGATGCCTTTGGTAGTTGTTGTAGATGAATTCTGTGAATCTAATGACAAATCTACATTAATCGATTCATTTGATACATTTTGACATTGTATTGTAACGGGTTTAAGTTTTTCAGTTGTAGAATTAGTTTCACTTTGAACAGGTTTCCACGAGTCCAACAAAATGGAGACAAAACGAACAGGTCCTTTTTGGTATTGCCTTCCTGTCTGCCTGATGATAGGCTTTTCCCTGAAACAGGGATAAATCGTGTCAGTGTATAAAGTATTAATATTTGTTTTAATCATATGTTCAAACAGCAGGTAGCTAAGTGTGATATAAAAAAACTCCTTAGCCTTTATATATATTATAAAATAAATCTCACTGTGTTGTTACATTGTGGATATCACCATCAATTTCATCAGTTGCTAGAAAATTTTCGTAGGAATAGCACTAGAAAATTACGTACATTTTTACCAAATTTTAATATTTTTTATATAAAATTTTTACACGCACTTGTATTCCATTATATCCAGAGAGATGCAATGAGTCTGAAATAAATGCAAGAAAGTAAACTTGCTTCAAAAAAATGTAAAAAATTGTGGAAAATATTTTTTTCTTGCACAAAATAAAGTTAACTATTATGCAATAAGAATATTATCCATAAAATAAATGAAAAAAATGATGTATTAACAGCATTAGTCTTTAATAAAACAAATATGTATTTATTTCATTAATACTGTTATTGAATTTAAGATTATTTTCAATAAGATCTAATATGCTGTTACTACATCATCTTTTTCCGTGCACAATATTATTTAATATTATGCTAGTAATAATATTAATGCACTTAATTGATTATATAAATAAATCTTGCAAAAATACAATCTTTTTTATTTATCAGTGTTTGTTTAGTTACAAACGATTATCCAAACAATTATTCATAATACGAAATTTTATATATATGTATACACTTATACATATCTTATTATTAATCAAGCATTATTAACATATATATTTCAGCCATTTCAGATAAATATTTAGCTATACTAAATATTTATACTTTGTATTCATGAAAGATATTTATATACAGAACGTATGTCCCGAATAATTTAAATAATTGAAAGTAATAGTGTAAATAAAATCAGTCTTTCGTCTTATAATCTATCGCTATAAAGACTCGTTTTATATATCTCAATTAATACACTCAATTAATACATCGCAAATGTTATTTTGTACGTATCCTTTGCATGATTTCAAGTTAACTTTTCATCTTACACATACAAATAACCAAACAGACCTCTAGAATAAAATATTTTTTACATTTATTAAAAACTAAAATTAAACTAAAAATAAAATTAAACGCACTTGCAACAAAGAAAAATCGTCGATAGGTTAGGTTTTAATTATGATACATATGGATACCAGATATTTTTCGAATATCCGTTATAAATTTTCCAGAATTCTAAAAAAAAGGAAGCAAGGAAAAACAGCAATAATTTTAGGTTGGTACATTTTAATGATTAAAAATAGAATGACAATAGCACTGCTGTTGATATCGCGCTGCCCAAATGCAACCTTAGCTGAACTTTTTGCACAGTTCATCTTTTTCCTTTATCTCCCCAACGTAAAAAGAAAATAAGGAAAGCTGAACTGCGCAAAAAGTTCAGCTGAAAAGAATAGAATACTGCATCAACGACGCAAACTTTTAATATAAAATTTTAGTCGGAGATATATATATATATATATATTGCCAGATACTAATGATACCCGGCTATCCAATCGGATATATAAAAGTACCGAACACCGGATAATCCGATGCATCTCTAATATTCACAGTATGTTTATATTCTCACAAATTATCAAACATATTTTTTTTAGAAATGTGTTCAAACACTATTATAAATTTGTAGATTAAATGCCTTTTGTACAGGTAACGATATATTAAAGCATCGTCTAATAAACCATTCATTAGTTTCATTATAGTTTCTCGAGCTTCTCTCTGTAAAACATTTTTAGCTAAACCAGCAATGGGAATCTGCAACATGTAGAGTGAAAGAAGACCGGGATGATTTTTTCTATGTCGAAAGAGGCTAGATCATTGAGTAAAGTCTTCACGGCAGATATAGCAGTTGTATAGCCTGATACTGGCATGCGTAAGAATACACTGATAGAACTTATTACTTCTTCTCGACACTTTCAATACTTTCTTACAAATCGGATGCTTGATTTTGTATACCCGGTTCTTGTACTGTAATTGTCTCGATTGTTTGCTCCCTTTGTCTGTTTCTTTTTCTATTTGAAGTTCTTCTTCTGTTCTTTTTTATTATTCGTTGATTTTTTTTCTTTCTGTCTCCTTTTGCTGGGCTATGACGTTTCCTCGCACTTTCTTTAGAAGTAATCTCTATCGCGTTAAATACATTCCAACATATATCACTATCCCACACTGTAATCCATCGTTCCCTAAAACATCCATTAATTACAATCAGTACAAACACGAAATATACATTGTCTACCATAACTACTAAAATCAAGAGTCTTCCATAATCAGTGTGTTGTAATGTTCAATAAAATACTAGTAAAATCATTTAATGGTATGTTTGATATTATTGATATTTTACAATTTCGAAAGATTGAGCGATTAAATATTTAAGTATATTAGGATAGAAACAAAATTATAAGCTTTGTTTGACTTAATATTTCTTAAGAGAATATTTCTATATAATTTTTTAAATACTATACAGTATCTACACACATTCAAAATAATTATTTCAACAATTACCATTCCAACGAATTCGTAAGTATGTCGTACCATCTACTTACAGCGAATTCAGTTGGGCGCACAAATGCGCACTAATACATATTACAATCGTTATACACTAATTTAATTTGGATGTAAAAGTGAAATGCAAATATTTCGAATTATAAACTGCATATTTTACTTGACAGCATAATAAAATATATTGAAGATTTCACGGTGTTTAATCTATTTTATATTTATATTAAATACATATCTTTACGTTAATTTATGGCTTTTATATGCACCAATGCACACTGAGTGTGTTTAAACAAATTCGCTAATAGTTTGGCTTTCAAATCAATTCAAATCAACTGAGCAGCAACGGGGGTGGCCGATAACATTGGAATGTTGACGTCGGGATGTCGTTTGCAACGATGTGCCATCATGCTATTATGTTGCATGAAATATTGTTGGCAGATATCACATTTGTATGGTTTTTCGCCTGTGTAAATAAGTTTATTCATTTTGACATGTGCGTATCTCGCGAAAGTTTTCGAGCATAACATGCACTGGTAGAGTTGTTCGCCAGTATGTATACGTTCATGTCGCTCTAATGTTTGACTCGACGCTAATATTATCGTACTGGGCGCAAGAACTTCTGCAAGTGCAGACTCATGTGATTGCAAAGAGCAGGTGGAACTTTATCTGAGCTCCAAGATAAAGTTCCACCTGCGATTGCACTGATATTATTTTGGCGCGGACTTCTGAATTCTATGAATCATATGTTTGTGTGCAACCAGGTATGATTTCTGCAAGTAAGCTACAATAATCGCAAACGAAGTTTTTGGTACCAAGTTCTTCGCTAACTCACCTTGTGATAGTTGTAATCCTCAAAATTATAATTCGACATAAATCCTTTGATGCAGCACAATCTTGTTCGCAACGTCGAAAGTCGTGCTTGTGCACTCGTCAAATATCGGCATCAAACAAAACACTCGAAATCAAGCCACATAGATTACAAGTATATGTAACATCACTGTGGATTTACGTGTGATTATTCATATCCTATTAGCGTTTGAAGGTTCTCTCACAAATCGTGCAAGGATGTACATTGCTATGCTTCACTATGTGTTCTTTATATCTACATACCAGAAGTCGCATGGCAGCATATATGACATTCGTATATCGCATGCACACTTTTCTTTTTCGTTTTCAGTATTAATCGTAGTATTTCTGACATTTTCATCACGTGCTTTCTTCAATATTGTTTTTTTTTTCTTCTTTTGTTCGATTATCAAGTTTCCTATCGTTGAATTCGATTCTATTTCTAGCGAATAATTGTACATCTTGGATTTTTCTTCGCTAAACTCATTCTTGAAACGTTCCCCCATCAACTCTCCGAATTCGAGAATTCTGTAAGCAACAACAATAATTTTTCAGCATTCATATTTAAACGTAGCCATATAGTCAAGACATTAATACATACACATGACATTGATACTTTCTCTTCTTCATCCGAAGTTTCTTCATGAAAATGACCCAAGGACTAATTTGCCAATTTATACAGACGTTGGAAATAATGACGCTCTCTTACTTCAAGATCAAGGAACAATCGACAAAGATAAAATAATTTCGAAGTTACAAACACTTTTTTATGTATGAGTTATTTTATTAAACGTATAATAACGAATATCAATGATAACATAAATTTATCGATGCATTTATCCACATTCATACGAGTAAGTCTGAGGTCTCGTCTTAGAAAGAAACTCTAGAAAAGAAAAGAGAAAAATAAGGAAAAGAAAACGAATTCGTTCAACAACATTGGCATTATTCGGCTTACAAGTTACCTTATCTACACTGAAAAAATAGAACAACAATATTCGTAACGGAACACTTTGAGCACGATAGTACAAATGTATAATCGTATAATTTATGAAAAACCGAACGGACAAATATCGCGTGTTATTTTGTCTCTTGAGCGTCGCACGGTTTACGCAAACGTTACAATCAGTGTACAAAAGATATTGTAGAGATTTATCGAGAAGTATCGGGATCAACATCGTGAGTACAACGCTCGACATTATCCAACATCAACGTAGTGGTAGATAATATATAATCTATAATAATTCAAAACTTCTTTCAGAATTTCTGTCTGCTCTGTTGTTACGATATATAAGCAACAACGCGTAAGCACATACTATCGCACTGTTGTTATCGTTAAATGTGATCGTTAATGAAAATCGCGTCATCAACAAGTCATTCATAAACAAGTCAAAGTTCTTAAACACACGTAGACTTCTGATGGGCCGTTAAGTTGCCCTGGCAAGAGAATCCACGATGGCATATCTGGCACACATAAGGTCGTTCCCCGGTATGTCCGCGTTTGTGAATAGTCAACGTCGATCTCTGTGAGAATGCTTTCGGACACTGGTCACATTTGTACGGCTTCTCCCCCGTATGTACTCTCCTGTGCATTCTCAGATTTTCGGAATCGGTGAAACCCTTTCCACAGATGTCGCAGACATAAGGTTTTTCCCCGGTATGGATCCGCCTGTGCTTCTTCAAATGCTCAGCGCTACTGAGACTCTTTCCGCAGTAATCGCAGAGATACAGCTTCGTCGGATTGTGGCTTTCTTTGTGTCGGAAGAGTGATCTCTTCGTGGCAAGTACGCGGCCACAAATGTCACAAGCAGTGCTAGTCACTTTGTTGGCCTTCAGCTCAGGATGCGTGCGTCTGCAGTGTGCGGAAAGCTGTCGTCTCAAGTAGAAGGCATTATTACAGAGCTGACAGACAAACGGCTTC